ATATCATGCCAGATTGGGGCTTCTGCCGTGAAGGAGGTGTCAAAGAGGGGCGTTGAATCTCTGCCTTCAATTGTCCTCTCAGGCGAAAGGATCCATCCGTGTCCATGATTCTATATATTATTTGTCCGGCTATCAATGCTCGTTTGCAAGTTCGACGGAATGACCGCTTTATATGCCGTATTCGAGACCAGATTGCACTAGCTTTCGTACAGGCTTTGGAAAAAAATATCTGGGTATATTATATTTCCATCAACCAATAAAATTGGTTAGTAATCATCACGCCAGACTCGAATCCTCTAGAATAGAATAGTGCGATATATAGATTTAATCCCCCGGAATTGGTTTTTTCAAATCGTCTATCATCAATATATCGAGCGCAACGAAAAAAATAAAAAAAATAAAAAAATCATGCCAAATATAAAATAAAATATTCAATAAACAATATAATACCCGCCCCTCGTAAATAACAACGGAATTCTTAATCTAAAAATGGTATTTTACAATACATAAACAATATATATATTTATTTATTAAAATATTATTAAAATAATATCAAATAATTATATATTTATATCATTAATATTCATTCAAAAAATCAAATAACAAAAATTTTAAAAATCATATATATTTATATTATAAAAATATTTATATATTATAGATTAATTAATATATCAATATATTTAGTTTAAAATTAAAGAAATCAATCTATATATGTTCATAAAATTCATAAATATAAAAATTCTATATATTATCCCCTTCCCATGCAATTCCAATCTTAATTAAAATCATATATAATTGTATTTATATAGTATTTTGTAATATATATATATAAATATATATTCGAATATATTCCATTATCCCGGACGATCACTAGCTCTCCATCCCATGGCGCCTAGACATTTCTGTCAAGACAGCTGGTGGCTATGCGTCACCGGCCCACCGGCCTTCAGAGGAGTCCATTAGCAAAGCGGAGATAATTCGAATCTTGGCAAATCAGGTATGGGCCAACCCTGGGAATCATTGCTACATTATTAGCGTGCTTCGTGCTCAGTTGTGGGCCTACCTAATGCGTGATGGATTTTCAACATCCATGTGGGGAATATGGACCCAAGATTTGACCTCAATGCTAAAGGTCTGGGGGATACAGCCACTGACCTTGACAGATCATGCTATTTTGGGAGAACAATTCTTACCATGGTTGCAAACACACGATGTTCACAGCCAGCAAGACGCTGCAGAATTTGCAGGTTGGCTTCGTGGCCAACTTTTCGACCAGCTCCAATCGGTAGTCTCCAAGACGGCTAGCAAAAACGCCTGCTGCATTCGATTGAGGACCGAAGAGAGGTCTTAGCGCCGGTACTTTTGAGCTGCAGCCAAAAATCCAATCTACAAGATTTGCTTGACGATTGACACTTAAATGATGTTTTTGTTTGTGCATTTGTCCAAGCCAATGACATGATTTGCATCCAGGTGAATCGATTTCCCAATCTTAATTCCAAATTTTGTGATTCGATCTATGGAAGTCGGGCTGAGGTATTCGTACCCATCTTCGACACGGCACAAGGCTTTGATGTCACCTAACATAGCTATCGTGTCACCACCTCAGTGCTTCACAAAGGTGAGGTGCCCACGACTGGGCACTATGTAAGTGCTTTATACACCTCCCTTGGTATGTTTCTTGCGGATGATAATCAACCTCCATACCAGACACGCATGCATAAGATGCTGGCCAATGAATGCTATCTCCTTTGGCTTATGCCAACCACGGTTTTGCAGCACCCAAGATAGACCATATCCATCTGTCGAATGATAACGATAGAACAAACACCAGATTTGAATGACCTATTCGGTGCTGTTTTTAGCAAAATTCGCTAAATTTCAATTTTTCGCTTCAGTGGATGTGGGCCTCGACGTTCTCGAAATGTCCGATTGTCACGACAATTGCAGCCCAAAACGGGCAGAACATGAAATGAAATGAAATCCGTCCGTGCCGAAGGTGCTGAGGCGTTTTATGAGGCTCGCGTTATACCGCAAGTGGTACTAATAGCTTAGCTAGGGGGGGGGGCATTTTCGCTCTAGAATCCTGTGTTTTTTGACGTTTTTGGAACCGGCTTAAAGTGCTGGAAGATAAATTCGTGCTAACTTGAAGCGTCTTGTGATGCAAGAAATGCAAATTTCTATTTGCATCATCTGCATCATCTGAGCGGTACATAGCTCTAGAAGTCACTATCTAACGGACGTGTCTGCGAGATAGGTACTTGAACGTCGTAAACATGGCCGAACGGGACTGGAATACATAGCTTTAGAAATGATATTTGGCTACAGAAGCAGAGATAGGCAGAGATTACGTCCAGGAACGGTAACATTTTCGTACGAACAAAGCGTGCATATGATCGAACATAGCCCCAGAAATCACTATTTCAAGCACGCTTCTTCGAGATTTTCGTACGAGCAGAGCGTGCATATAATCGAACATAGCCCCAGAAGTCATTATTTCAAGCACGTTTCTTCGAGATAGGGATTTCAACATCGTAAACATGGCCCAACGAAGGCTCAAAAAGAATTGGAAAAGATTATAAAATCACGATCAAAGTGACTATCCTCGAGATAGGGACTTAAGCATCTTCACTCTTTCCAGTCTATTTTGAGCCTTCGTTGGGGCATATTTACGACGTTCAAGTACCTATCTCGGGGAAACATATTTGAGATAATGATTTCTGGGTTTATGTTCCATTATATGGGAGCTATGCTCGTGAGATAATGTTACCATTCCTAGATCTTATCTTTCCTTATTTCCGCTCCTGACCACCTTATCTTTCCTTATCTCTGCTCCTAACCAACTATGTACCCGGACGTTCAAATCCCTATCTTGAGGATAATGAGTCCTCGTTAGGCCATGTTTACGACGTTAAAATCCCTATCTCGAAAAATCATATTTGAAATAATAACTTCCGAGACTATATTAGGCAATATCTTCATTCTTTCCAATCTCTTTTAAACCTTCGTTGGGCCATGTTTACGACATTCAAATACCTATCTCGGGAAAATATACTTAAGATAATGACTTCTAGGCTTATGTTCGACCATATGGGAGCTATATTCGTGAGATAATGCTATCATTCCTAGATCTTATCTTTCCTTATCTCTGCTCCTAACATAGTCATAATATTTCCGGCAGTGGTGGCGGCCCTTCAACAGCCACGATTATTAAAAAGACCCTTGGACTATCTACAGTATCATCCCTTCTCCAAATGAAATCCACTCCAATATGCCTACAATCTTGTGCCCGAGCTTTCTTGCAGAAACCCTATAACTGCGTACAACGAATTTTACAACCTGCACCTCAACCTTACACTATCCAATAAAAATGTTATATTACATGTGTCCGAACAATATTCCTTTCATATTGTATCTCTTAGTTCCAAAAGCACAAGAATCCATTCCAAATCGTTTCCCTTCCGGAAATTTACCCGATATATAAAATTCCAATCCATTTTGCGTCCTCATTGGGCCATATTTACGACGTTTAAATTCCTAACGTACATAAGATAGTGTTCCTTATTCCTATTCATCTCTACGTCTAATAAGCCTTATATTTACGACGTTCCTGGCAATATAGAAGATATGTTCAATCATGTTTAGGGGGAGGGGCCGTTTTAGGGCTATGTTCGACAATATAAAAACTATATCGGGCCACGTTAAGAAAACCGTTACCGTTAATTGACCTTATCTCTGCTCCTATTCAGCCGAATTGCTTCCTTTCATATTAATTCCCTTGGCTCCAAGAGCACAAGACCCCGTTCCAGATCGTGTTCCTTACTGCAACTCTCTCGGTAGCAATCTTTTAATCCCCCAACTACATTAGGCCATGTTAAATCCCTATCTCGAAATATAACCGGGAAGGGATCACTTCCGGGGCTATCTTCCGTGGAAATTTTGTCCCCTTCCATGCGGTGCGGGCGGTTACCGTCGCGAAGCGACGTGAATAATCTATTATCTATATTCTAGTTTGAATTTAATATATATCAAATTCGTCATTGAACAAATATATTTATATTTTTAATGTTCTGGTCAATAAAATCAATTGGTAATTACCAATTGCAAGCAGGTCTACACCAGCAGTGCATAATCCATCGCACCTTGAGGTGGATGAAACTTGAATCATGGTCGATCTACCGACTCCATCACCAGGAATGAGAAGCGGCCGGCTGCATCCATGAGAGTCGCTTGCGACCTGTCGCCTATGGTGCTTCAGGTTTTCCCCGAGCAAGCTGAAGAAAGCAGGGCAACTTGTGAATTGAGTATTTAAAAACGATAGATGCTTGTGTGGACGGCTGCACCTTTTGCGACAGTAGGATACCTCCATGAATCCAACATGCAAGACATATATAATTCAACTAGCAAAGGATCACCTTGTTCTCCGAAAACCTGCAAACAGTCTGTACATTTAATTTACGAAATCCTGTCCTGATGGGATGCCATCCTCTTGAAAGTTGCTTTCTTCGTCTTTGAGCTGGGAATTTTCAGCCACTGCTCAAAAGCCTGTTGGCTGGCAGTGGACTGACAGGCACGAGCACCTGACAGGACGCAGTCTCATGGCTCATTCAGCGAAGGCACGCTCGCATTCGATCAATCTGCGATCTCCCACACATGGTTGGGAAAAAACACCATCATAGCACACTTGGACGTGTCTGAGGTCGGTATCAGTCGTTTCATGTTGTTATATGAGTCGTTTGAAAGCCTGCAATCACCTGCAATCTGCAGATGCTTGACTGTTTGAAGGACTTTGGATGTGCAATGTGCAACATCATTTCAATTCAGTTCCTCAATCATCAATGTTGCCACATGATGTCATATGTTGCCACTGAACAAACCCAAATCCACCCGACTTGATGTGGTGAACACATGTGACAACATTGCGGTTTCCATGTAAGCATGGTAGTCCCTCCAAAAGCAACGATTGTCGATGTGTGGAGAACTTATCGCTGCGAGCTCGCAGCTCAGAGACTCAAAATGGAACCATTGCGGAGAGCTTCTCTCAGCTCATCAGAATCTGCTTCTGACGCGAGCACCTGGCAATGAGGGAAAGCTCCCATGTGTCGCAAAGATTTAGGGACAGCTCCCAGCCCCCGATTTCCCCGTCAACCCAATTGGGAAACAGCAATTGAAACTCTTGGGTGGCTGTTCAACAGCCAAAAACGCAAACTTCCCGATTTTGCATCAGTTCAGCATGGTGAGCCTTGTTGGTGGATCCTTCCATCTCCTTCTCAACGTCAGGCTGCGTGCCCCTGGTGTTCGCGGCAATCATTGAGATGCATATCTTGGATGCTCACATCCACCTCAAACGATACAACTAGCTAACATATGTAACTTTACAACTCAACGGCATATCCGCTCTTGAACACAAGTTGTTCCCGGCTTTGGTAGCTTGATGCAATTGGGATTTGAATGTTCATGCCAACGGTCACTCTGGAACACACCATAACACGTTGCGTTCCAAGTCCCCAACGCGGCCAATGGACCAGGAGTTGAAGGCAATAGCATGGGCCTGGCCGCCCCGGTGTGTCACCTAGTGAGGTCGCCTAAGGCGACAAGTGCAACAAGTTCATGTTGCATTGTATAGGCTCCATGACTTTCTTTATGTTGTAATGGACCACTGACCCACTTAGGCTCATTTAGGTTCCAAATAGAAACGGTCCCAATGGAACCCACTGACCGGTTGGTGGAACGGTCGGTGCTGTGGAGTCCCCCAAAGGTGGACGTCGCGTCGGTCGCTGGACGTCGCGCCACATCAATGGGACGTGCGGTCTACCCAGGTAGTGCTCAAGATCTTCTCATCAAAAATTCATTGAGTCAGCCTGAGTCAGGATTGGATGGAGTCCATACGTAATGTATACATGAGGAGTATGAGGAAAGGAGAGGTTGAGGTATCTTCCAAACTAAAACAATTACTGTATTCAATTCGGAGGCGTCTGCCCTTAGAACAGCTCCGTGGTTCTTCTCGTTGCTCCGGCTTTTGGTCGGATCTCCTGAACGCACGGGAGATCCGACGCGCAAACGGGCAGCCAGAAGTGCTACGACGGCTTAGAGTGCTGTGCGCAGTAGAGGTGCTGTGTATTGCCTAGGCGGCCACCTTGGAGGTGATGTTTCGTGGCGCATCAAGATGAGCGGAGAATATACTTGCAAAACATGCGCCACAAGGCATGTCAATCATTGATTGTCTGCTGAACATGTCTTGAGACTTCGGTATTGATGAACACATGGTGCTTGCACCCAGCTTCTCAACTGAACATTTCTACTGAAGAATGGCAGCGCACTATTGGTGTCCTCAGCAGAAGTGAGGGCGCTACAAAGACTTGAGGGGTAGGAATGTTGTTTCAATGGAGCAAGTTGAAGTGCTAAGAAGTTCAAGGACAGCTGTCGTCTTGGACAGGCTGTCTCGGCGTTGTGGGTTCTGTGGCTGCCATCCTTCAAACATGTTCAAACAAGCTTTCAAGCAAATGGACTGTGTATATATATATATGTATATATATATATATTATACTATACAATTTCCTGCAGATCGTGGAAGAGGATGCCAAAAGGTCCCGTGCAGGTCACGCGGTGCTCACGCAGTAGGTGAAGAAAAAAGGCATAACAAGAGACGGCCCCTTGGCTAAAACCAAAGAATCGGATGTCCAGCCTCCTCTTGGACATCTTGGCATAGCAACTTTGCAACAACTCCGTGATCACCTGGACGATTTGAAACATTGCAGCACCCCACGCTCAATGGAGATTCGATTCTTCCAACTCTTGATTCCTTCCATGCTCGTTTTCCCGAAAACGCGCCAGGGGGGGAAACCCGCGTCGCCAAAACCGAAAAAACGCTCGTGGACGCCCTTCCGTGGCCTGAAAATGTTGCTGGTCAGGACTCTCTAGAAGGACGTGAATCTTCGCCTTGTTGCTATCTTGCTTGGAGGCCTCGGTGAAAGCCGGACGTGCGGATCGGTGACAGCCGGACGACAAATGAGCCACGACTGGTGCGGAGGAACAATACATTCGCCACGACACCAAGAACATCCCACTGTGATCACAGTATCCCGCTCCTATTGAAGTGAACGGGATGGGATTGCACCAAGCCAAACGTCAAATCCTGTCAAGTCCAAGGAAGAACGGAGCTTGATGAATGAGAACACCTGCTACCTGCAGTGTGCTTTCGAGCCAAAAACATCCTCCACCAATGTGCGTCGCACATCGTAGCACTCTCTCTCCGTCTCTCAGGTGCAAGCCCACTGCAAGGCATTCTCGTGGGACTTCGGCAAATCGCAAAGTACGATCTGAGCCGCAAGAGACGAGTGAAAAACATGTTTGAATTGGATCACTCCCTTGGAGTCTGCTTTCTCATGATGATTGACATTGACATTGATAATCATTGATTGCTATCTGACTGATTTGCAAGCAACAAAAGGTCAGCAGACTGCCCAAACTCGGGATCTGGCAATCATTTCAGGCCAATCCGTTTGCAGGCCTGGGCGGGGCGAAGAAGGCACCAATAGGCAAAGGCATCCTAGAAAACGGATCCTGATCAATACAAGAAACACATCATAGAAGAATGGCACGGTTGAAGAGTCTCGAGTCTTGAAAGAAAACCGTATCCTTGACCCAACAAGAAGCTACTAGTAACAAGAAGCTACTAGGTGGAGGCCATCGCTACTAGGAACAAGAAGCTACTAGTAACAAGGGCCTCCAACCTACTTGCAATGGCCTCCACCTAGTAGCTTTTTTGTTACTACAAGTAGAGTCTCGAGTCTTAAGAAAAACGTTGACACCCCACACATCAAAAAGTAAAATACACATGCACATCGGCTGATCATCGCTGCGCCAATCTTCAGGACTCAGCTGCCTGGCCCTAAAACTCTCGTTTCCCTCGTTTCGCATCTCAGGCCAAATGACTCTCTTCGACTGCATTCATGCACGGCTTGGCCTGGCAAGTTCCCTACAAGAAGGGACTCCCTTGGACAACTCATGAACATCAGGTCTTCAGTTTTGGATAGAAACAACTGTCCAAATACAATCATTTTGTTCAAACATGTTTTCTTTTTCAACGGATTGTCTATCATTTGTAATTATTGATTTGCCTCATCACACGGAAAAAAAGAAACGGTTGATGAAACACACGAAACACGAAACGCGCAGAAACCTCCCTCCAGTCTGTGATCAGCACATGGAAACGGTTTTTGGTCCGCCTCAGGGGCGAGAGCGGTCCGGATCAATAGCCACCGGATCTTGGATGTTGGTTCATATATGACCCCCACACACACAAGACAATATATATATAGTTTTAATATCATTATATACATATATATATTTCGGATACTTTAGTTATATATATATATGTTCTCTCTCTCTCTCTTGCAACGTGACCTCATGAGACCTCATGAGCACATGTTTGGTGAACACGGAGGTTCCACGGAACGGGGAGGTTCTCATGTCGACCGTTTGGAATCGCTCACAGGGCCCGGCTTCATCCACGTCTCGTACTTCACTGCCTGGCAAGAGGATTAAAACTGAGCCACAAGAACAACCAAAAAACACAGTGACATTGGAGACAACAACACGGTGCACTTCTTCCAAGACTGAGTGGCAGAAAATCTATGAACATCTTTAAACGTGAACAAAACTACCACAGTTCTCGCGGTGCACAGGCCGCACTCTGGCCAAAACCTTTGCATTCAACGTTTCCAGCCTTCTTCATACAAAGAATGCCAGCGCTTAGATTCATCGCCTCGATGGGATGCAGCGCGCTTGCTCTCCAAGGTTTGCCACATGAACAACAAGTGTTTGATGGACTCAGTCCTGAGAGAATGACTTGGGTACCATGGGATTCAAACCCAAACTTTGGCAGAATGGAAGGTCTTTCGGATACTTTTTCAGCACGTGCTCACGGCATGGGCCGGTTCTGCAAAGGCGTTATGATCTTCATGGCTTCACCATGATCTTCACGTGCGGCTTCTCGGATCGGATCACCGAGGCCGTGACGACATCGGTGAGGTGGGCTCGGAGTTCACGCTCAGGCTTGTAGCAGCGCCTCGGAGACTCGACGCACAAAGGTCATGGCCTTAGCTAGTCTTACTTGGTCTTAAGTTTAGGGACACCCTATTGAAGGTGAGCGGCTTAAACATAAACTAAAGAAACTACATTAACCGTTCCAAACCTTTCATAACCTTTCAGCAGATTGAGAGTGACTGCGTGGCGTGACATCCATATTGTGCCTGTATCCTTTTTGAACACCTTTTGAGCTTCTTTGTGTGAACTCCCCGTCATGTGCGGGTTGCTTCAAAAAGGCATCCCTTGACCCTTCTACAGTCCTGAAAATATCAACACGCGCGCGACATACGGTGTTTGTGTGCGGACCGATGACGTTGGGACGGACCACTGGGTCGCACACTCGTGACACCAAATCATCAGCCAACTTGCCCTGGCGCCCGAAGGACGGCCACGTTCGCTGTGTCACATCTGTCACAGCAGTCGCGTGCTTCCAGGAATCATGCGATCACAAAATGAAGCAAGTCCTTATCACAAATGCAGAAGCCCATGCCCTAGCAAGGCTTTCAATCTACTTCACACTCGAATAATTACGAGCTTGATTTCCCGTGTCTGGTGACTCCACCTTGCCCGAGCTTCCACGTTCGCTTCCCCTTCGTCTTCATCGCCTCACTGTCGCTCGACGATCGAATCACTCAGCACGGCTCGGCGTCGGAATTTCAAGCGTCGAGCGAATCGGCTTTCAGTTTCCCTGAATGGAGAAGCTTTGTTCAGTGTGAGGTAGATGTAGGCTGGGTGCAGGCACCACTCAAACTTGGATCGTGGAACAAACCAGACCCCACCTGGGTCTGCGACCGAAGCCCGAGACCTCCCTTGCAACCGCTGGAGAACCCAACAGGTGCTGTTTAGCTTCGGCTTGTGCAACGTCCTAACAAAAATAATAGGTGACTCCCACATACTCAGGCTGCCACCGTCAATCTCTGGAGTGAAGCCAGGCTCCTTCGACTGCTGAGCGCCCTGTTCTCCTCAGTAACAAGCGTTGAAACGAAAACAGTAATGCTTTCCTGTGCTTTCCTCTTCGTTTCATGGCAAACATCGGCAATTGGCTTCACACAACTGGCACACCTTGAAGTCCAAGTCCGGAAAAAAACAGTGACCAAATTGAACCAGCATCCACAAGTGGGACACATGTAAGATGCTTTTAATGGGAACTGCTTGAGAGCCCTTCCTTTATACTTGCAAGGTCTTTACATGGAACATCTGGATGGTCGAAAACAATAGGAAAGTAGAGAGTGGGAGTTTAAAAAGTAACCATTAAAGAAAGAACATTAGACTTTGGGAAGGACAGTTTAAAAACTACCTTTGAATACAAAACCGTATTCGGAATGACCAACCTTCGCATGCGGAGTCCACCAAGGTGCTGATGACTTGAACAGCTTTCGAAAAGCAGTGGCCTGCACAGTGCAGCATCGTCAAACCCAAACGCAAGATCCCGAATGAAACCGGTAGCCAGTGGTGGGAGTCCGAGCATTTCCACCCGAGAGAGAATTCCCACCATCGGCAGTTGGGTACTATATTTTTTGCAGGACGGACTGTCCATCAACAGGAGCACACACGCATACACACACCTGCCTCCAAACATGCCAAACGTAGGAAAAGGAGAAAAGGAGATGGAATGTCCTTCCTCTAGTGTATGACCCAAACGTTAGGCTTCCATGGCCGTTTATGCAAACACCAGTTGCAACAGAGAGAAATGATACTCTTGGTACACCAATTGTCTGCAGGCGATATATATATATATGTGATATATAACTATACATATATGATATGTATATACATATATATGATTTGTTTGTTGTTCAAAAACGAAACTCCACTTATAGATACTTATAGGTTCAAATATCGAACATACGAACCAATCCAAATAAATACTGTGCATCTCAGAGTTGTCAAGCTCATAGTGCCTTCGAACTACTGCACTTCGAGGCTCCATCCCCACTGAAAGTAAAGCTTGAGGGCATGAACATGTGGCAACTTCCAACAAATCCTTTCAACAGGTGTCCAAAGAACCTTCATACCACTGCACAAAGGCCGTGCACGATTCGCCGGCGGCTCGCCGCTCGCCTATTCCATGATTGGCCAGTGCGCTATCCTGCCGGTCAAAGACCAAACAAAGCACTTCTGCATCACGATCCCACTCAAACAGCCAAAAAAATCCCAAACAATCCGGTTCTCCAGGTTGCATGAAGGCCCCAGTAGTTACTATCTGTAGAGATGTTTTGAGATCCAAAACAAGTGAGATCGTCTGATTTCCTCCCTGGCGTTTGCTTTTCGCTGCCTCGGTCTTGTCAGATTTCTCATCTGTTGGTGAGGATGACGAAGAGCGGCTTTGCAACTGCACGTGCCAAGTCTGTGGCCCCATGCAGCAGTCACACTTTGGAACACTTCAACATCATGGCTTTGAACCAAATGTTGACAAAGATCAAGGAGATGTCTCCCACCATGTGTGGATGCTCTCCTCCCGGCTTGTGTGGACCTCTCAACATTGGATATAGATTAGTGATTGTAGCCAACATTTCCCCCACCGCAACTTCTCTTTTGTTGTCTCCCACGTAAAACCCATAGGGCCACGTGCCATGAGCATCCAACAAACCAACTCATGCTCTTGCAGACCAGGTGCTGGCCACGCAGGAAAACGCATTTTGTCCACTTGACCTGGCCCAGTGGCGCGTTTCTTGTTGTTTTTTCCGGCGGCGGTGACGATCTTCGGGATCACAATGGGAGTGCTTTCAACAGAGGGTTACAACAAAACGACCACCGGTTACGACCACCGGTGACGACATGTCATTGTGCTGTTGCACCCCGTCGAACTTGACACCAGGTGTTCTGGCCCTAGAAGCACTGCAGCGACGAATCTGACGAATTCCGAGGTCAACTGTAGCGACACGAATCTGATCCTTTTCGATCTAAAGCACAGCCTGTCGACAAGGCAGCGCGAATTCGTGCCGCAAATTGCACCAGTGTGCAAATGAATTCGGCCCTAAAACTACAATTATATAATCAACATTCTACGAGTAGATTCATCCATCGTTGCTCGTCCATCTTCGACCCGGGATGCATTCGCATGCATGTGCCAATCATATGCTGTCAGTCGTGTCATGCAAAGCTTTTGCATCCCTGATGAAGCTCGAAAATGATGTGCTGCAGGCTGTGGCAGCCAAACCTGCGAGGAGTTGAACTCGCTCTCGCGCCGAGGCTCCCTGTTTTGATCCCCACAAGCCCTCCAACATGGTGAACATGGGTTTCTTGATGCTTCTTGAGCACTTCGGCAAGGGAGCAATTGCACATCCTTGCATAGCTTTGGATCAGGGATGATGGTATGTGACCGGGCACTAGGTAGTCAGGGTCGCCTGGGGCTATTTTTTCGAGCTCTCGGTCCTGTTAAGACTTGAAGTGTTGCTAGGTCCTTATAGGTGACCACCAATCTCTGAAGCAGTCTGGAAACATTATACAAACATCTTCATTCAACAGCGTGCTGCAGTAGGGTGATGCAAACTCGGGATGACCAAAACTCCCCGAACTCGATGAGGAATGCTTCGAGCTGTCCTTCCCAGGTTCACCAACAGAACCTGCATGGTTTCTGAGGTCTTGAGTGACCAGGTCGTGACCAGCTCGTGCTGTCCTTTCTTCCATTTCCTTGCAACTTTTGGAAGGAACGGATGCTCCGCTCGAGGCACAGGTTTTTGTCGCAGGCAATGCCAAGTTGAGCTCCCAGTTGTTGATCTACACGAGAGACCAGGTCGTGCCTCGGCCACACCGGGGGATCAAAAACCAGAATCTACCTAGGGACCCAAAACCACCAAAAACAGTTCTGGTTGTTTCCCTTTTTCTTGAGATCCTTTGCATAGGAAATGGCTCAGACTGGGATTTAAAGATCAATTTCTTTCTGGTTGTTTGGGTTTCCAGCTAGTTTTTGTGGAATTCCATCAATCCTCAGGACTCCGGACTCCGGAATTCCAATTAATATAATGAATCCAAGATCATCCAATTCAATTAAAAACAAACGATTGATGTGATTATTGCTTTTGGAACGTTACTGGGTGGGGGGAGAAAACGTATTCATGCGCATATGAGACCTGCGTTTTCGAAGACCAAAAACGCAGCAATCGAAGACTCGTTGTCGCAGCAATCGAAGACTCCTCTTTGACCAAGGGACTCTGGCACCACCACCGTTCCCAAGCGATCACCTTGCGACAGACTCACCAGTCAGAGCCCTAACTCGAGAGGTGCTTTAAATGAATCCGACTCTCTGGAGTCACAACTGTGGTCACCCGGTCACCCTTCTAAATGGATCTAACCCACCTGTCACCCGGCTCAAGAGAAAACATCCAAAAAAGGAGGACCTCCTGATGTCAATCCCTTGCCCCCAATCGCGGATCCAGTCTCTTCTCTTGAATTGAAGGTATGGCTGTGCGGTCAAAACCAAACATAGAACAAACAAACAAACCCTGCAATTAGGTGAGCATGCGTGGATAGTAAACAAATCGGTTATTGTCCAAAGGTGCTTGGTGTGAGCGTGCGTGAGTGTGGAGGCTTAACAGTTCAACTACTCCACAGCCATATGCGGGAATGCTAAGGAGCTCATATTGTGCAAACACAATAATGGACAAATAGTTTTCACTATCTACACACTTTGGACTAGCAAGGATTGATTGAACACACAATCTCAATTTAATTTCGGTCTGCAAGCAGAATTGCAATGACATGCATAAACCAAGCACAGCCAAAATGGCTGTGTCCAGACACAAACAAAGATGAGCTCAGCTAAAGAATGCTTTGTCTCACAGGTTATCCGTTCTTACCTCAACAAGGTTAAATACCAAATATGTGTATGTGTTGTTTGTTAACCTTACCTAAGTACTTGTACCTAGCGCCAAACCTAGCGCAACCCTGCGTTTTGCTGGCGCGACAAGGTAGCATCTCCAAGTTAAACAACAGAGTGCCAAGCGGTGGCCGAGCTATTTCTGAACCTGTGGGAACCTTCCTTACTTAATGCATATTACCGGGTTTATATTCAAATAATGTGGGTCATGCATTTTTTCGGCTACAAAAAGCCAGTGAAACAATGAGTCACGTCAAGCAAAGTCAGGAATGTAGTACTTGCCACATACCCAGTGCTCTAAAAAGCATTGTTCTTTCTTGCTTAATCTCAGATATTTACTCGTCTGCGGGTCGACAGCTCAGGGCAGGTTGCATTTCAGTTCAATTTGCTTCTTCCAAAGTACCTCAAACTGCCGTGTGAAAATCCGCCTGCGATCCAAGGAGGACAGGCTCGTCTTTGCAAACGCATCAAGGGTCTCCAACACACACACACACATAAGAAACAGCAAGCACAGCTAAACATGCCAAGCAAATCTTTTATGGTCCCGGAATTGTTCTTTGGGGCTTTTTTCTTGTTTTTGGTGCTGGTAAGGCTGGACATGCAGACTTCCTGGCACGGGGTGTTTTGTCAACCTCGGAGTGCACTCTGGGAAGCACGGAGCGCTGATCTTCATCTAGGTCTTATGTCAGATGGCAAAAGCCTGGTTGCCCTTAGTATCCACCGTTGTGGGTTGTGATGGCATTATGTTACTATTCAAGAGTTTTGTCTTTTGCCAGCAGTCCATGGCTCCAAGTCCAAGTCCCGGGTAGAGCAAAAACAAAACATCGGCCGCACAACACAAGCACAAAAAAGCACGAAAACCAAGAAAAGCAGAGAAGCACTGAGAAGCAAGGAAAAGCAAGGAAAGCAGGAGAGATCATAGAGAAGCAAGGAAAAGGAAGGCAAGCCCAGAAAAGCAACAAAAGCAGCTACAGGCAAAAAAAGAAATCCACAAAAATACACCTCAAATCCCCTCTATATAAAATAGACATGCAATTATAGATGAACCTGTGAAACTGGTTTCCGCCGTTTCAAAACTTCGGAACAAGCCGGAAAGACAGCCAATCTCTTCCAGCCTGAAGCTAAGAGCTGGTCCTTGCTAAAGGCCGTATCCGATAAAAGCATTTGGGAGGTGTAACGCAAACCTGGTGCTGCAAAGGTCACCTGGGCCGTTGGCCAAGCCCTGCCCGGTGGGTGAACAAACAAGAAGACGTGTTTGGTGGTGGATGAAGACGTGCTTTTGTTTGCTATACCTTGCCTCCTAGGCAGGTGATTGGCACCTGCCTACACAAGAGGCTAGTGATTTTATCTTTCCAGTCAGGTCTTCCGGTCCTTGTGGAAAGGGGTGGTGCAACTGCAAGGCATCCACATAAGTTCAAAGGAATCTGGGGTTAGGTGGTTGAAGACACGTCTAAGGATTCCATTAAACAAATATAAAGTCAAGAAATGGGCAAAGAATTGGAAAACGGATGAACAAGGCTAGAAACACAGGCTGCGAAGCTATGGTTCATCGGTACATGTTGCCTACCTACCTTACACATAGTAATTTTGCAGAAACCGCCTGAGTATCAGTAGCATGTGCAATGCGTCTTTCCAAATAGCCATGGCATGTCAAACACGTATATATATATAGAAAACAACTGCAATCCCCCCAAAAGTGTCCAACACGCCCAACACCCCAAGCAATTAACAACTAGAGCATGCTGGAGCGTGGGGTCCCAGCTCCCAATGGCCAACCTTCCTGTGGCCACGCGGCTGACTTCTGCCCCACTTCCAAAGCCACCAGCTTGGCCAGGCCACCCCCCAGAGAGTGGCCTGTAAGGTAAAACCTCACGTGTTCTGCGACGATGCCGTCTGGCCGATCAGGAGTTCTGAAAGCCTGAATTGGTCGTTGGACACCCGGAGTGAGAGCCAAAGTGAGAGCTAATGCGCGTGTCTCGTCTGTATAGTTGACACACTCACCCAAAAAGCGTCCGAGTGGCCGTCTGTCTGGAGAACCCTTGACCTAGGATCGAAGAAACGCATGGAATTCATCAAGTTTGTTAGCATTGGATCCGACAAACATCAGCTAACTAATTGACATCTGAAGTTCAATTGATAGTACCAAGTTTGGAAGTTTGTGAACCTTCATCACTGAATCATCCAACCAGTTTTTGTAATGTGCTCGTTTGCGGCCCTCTGCCATCTATCATCCAACTAAACTGCACACCCCCAAAGCCTTGACTTTGCAACATTGGCTTTGAGGAGCCGGCTCGATTCTTCACATGCTCCAGCAAGACTTGGAAGAAATCCTGCAACACTGGTCTGCCAACAGCCAAGCCTGCTTCATTCACATGAGCCGAAGTGATCGAATCACATGGTTCGAACATGTTCGTGAGTGAACGGAATTTTTGGGAGGATCCACCCATCTCCCCGAAAAGAGTGGGTTTACCCTTCAGTTCCCACCCTTGAGCCCTTTGTCAGCGCATGTTGAGCCTTGTCAATGGTGGGCAAGCCAGAAAACAGCGCGAAGACGGTCTTCGTCACGGACGAGGTCAAGTCCGGACCTCAAGACGAGTATCCGATCGGACGGGAGGGACACCAAGAAAAACCTATATAGGTGATATTGGGTGTCTTGTTTTGTCATGCTCTGATCCAGTTGATTGACCCCCCCAAGGTTTTATGACCACAAAAAGTGTATGCTGAAATCGTTGCGCCAGGCGCCCACCACCTGAAGCTATGTGCCACTCAAGCGAAGCTGGTGGGAAACTCTGGAGCTCCCAAGCTCCATCACCACAGGCCAACATCTGTGAAGCAACCAAGCCAAGTGGCCGAAATAAGCTGCAATTTGAGTGACTGCCACGGGTGTGAAGATGTTCCTGGGGAACTCGTCAGTTACCGCCTTGAAACCTGCGCAAGCCTATTCCTCAACCCTAGGCCTGGTACGGACAGCACGAGGCTGGATGCTGGATGTTTCTAGGCTGCTCCCATCTCAAGGATCTCGTGCAAAACAGCAAGCTCGCATGGCCGCGTAACACCAAAGTTCGTGCAATACTGTGCATTTTAACAAACAAGGTAACGCACACTTGTTCTAGGAAATGTTTTGAATACGATGCCTGAATGCTCGAGAACAGAGCAAACAGGGCTCCTGGCTTGGCTGGATCTGCTCCTCCTTTGCACCCTGGAACAAATACAGTAGGGTCCAGAACGTGTTCAAGATATGGGTGGGATGCAAAAAACATGTGGTTCTGGCTTGTAAAACCAGTGCACACAGAGCACCAAGCAAAGCTCTCAATTTGTGATTGTTGGCAACCTATACTCGACGCGTGAACTCTCCCTGCAGGGCGTGGCAGCGCCATTCCATGCAATGAACAATACAATACTGTCACATCTTTGTAACCATCTTTTGATGTACAAAGTGCGGCTGTTAGTAGACGGGGAGTTGAACTGTGCTGAGCCATACAAAGCCCCATTCTTCTTCCAAATGCACAAATTTATCACTGTCATATTATATAAGTACTTATTTGATGCGTTAATGAGACCAAAAACCTGTGTTGCTTTTTCTGAACTTGCGAGTTTCAACCCTCCAAAAACCATGTGGGGCGGCTGTGGGTGGGATTCAACCTGCAACAAAGTGACTACAACAACCACATGCACTGCAGGAGGGTGGCAGGATTCTCCTCCCAAAGCATTTCTCCTGGATCGAGGCTCAAGTCTTGCATGACATCCAGTGGGCTTTGCGTGCCACGGACCGCGAAAATGGTGGTTTCGTTGCCTGGAAGATCGCGCAGCCCGTGGGAGGAGCGTTCCGGGTCCCGGATTGGAGGGAAGAGCGTTCCGGTCGAGGGGGTGGCGAGAGTGAGAGAAATGCTCTTTAAATATCTTTAATCTGTTTCATTTGTTTCTTGCGTCAAAGTAATTATATAATGCAAACATATTGTAAGGGCCGAAGTACTTAAAGTACACTGGTTGCACCCTCAGTAGGCTTTTATCCACATCCACGGAATAATCTAAATTATGTAGTTAAAGCCGTGGCTTGTTCATGCTTGCTCTATGTCTCAAGGCCAGCCATTTGGGGACCCACCATGAAGTACCTGGTACACCTCATCGATCCTCATCGGCTACGACGGAGGGTGCACCATCCAAACTCACCCGACCGAAACCTCAACACCGTGCGACAGCATGGCAAGCGCTGCGTTGCAAGCGCGTCAAAGTGCTGCGGGCTTTGCCGAGGAACTGGGATCCGCCAGTTCAAAGAAGGTGGTCCAGTCATTGTAGCCATAGCTGTGGCTCTCCCCTCCACGCCGCTCGTACAACAAGCTCCAACCAGGAAATCGTGACCTGGGAACGCAGGCCTAAACCGGCAGGATTTGACAGCGTAGGCTGGGGATCTCACATCAAATGGATATATGCATGGACTCACTGGACAGCCATTTTCCGGCTTAGGCGTCAGGCGTCTGATGTATTTTCGATGAGGAGGAGCCTTTGCACATGGCGGCCTGTGTGCCCAACATGCATCCCGATGAAGTGTCATGAAGAGTCGTGAATGAGCTCCGAACAGCTCAAACACCACCACAGGAACGCTTGGGATACACCGCACAGCTCCGCTCAAACAAACTTGAGGCCGAGGGTAGGTGACGAAAGCTAGCAGGGATGCATCCGTGTCAGTGGAGGCGAAGCATACAGCGCCGTCCAGTGACAAAGGATTGGTGGGACATCAAGCGGAGTGAGGCAATTTATTTTTCATAGGCATGGGGCTGTTGGAGGGATGGTTCACAAGGTCTCGCTCATGAGGTAAAACGTTGTGAACATGTAAGACACACGGACAGCAATGACACAGCCAACCTTAGCTTGTGAATCTGTTGAATCTGTTGCATCGTATCCCAAAACCTCCACGGAGGAGTTGAACCAAAGTGGAGGCGTCCCAGGGGGGAGTTGAACCCGCGGGGGGGGGCCCTCTACATATGACGTTTTCACGTGATGCGGCGATCTCGAGGATTCCAGCCCCTCACTTGCTAGAGCTGCTAGAGCAAGGACAACTCCAGCTAGCTGGTGCTAGCTTTCGTGACTTGCAGTGGCTCACGCTGGATTACTTTGTTTCTTCCTCTTCTCTCCGGTGAAATGCCAGGATTGATTCGTGGTTTGCACCATGGACGAGCGACTCCAATGAAGAGTTGAAATCTGAGCTTGGCAGGTTAGTCAACGCGCACATGTCGGCAAAATCGATCAGGGACATCTCCTGCGCTGACTCAACGTTGGCCACCGTGCTTTCACCATCCTTCTGCTCTGATTACACCAATGGTTTTCACACCTGGATCACAGGCATATATATATACATATACACAGTATACACATAGACATTGTATATATATATAATACACATAATTATGGTTGCAAATGGTCACTGGCATTGATACCTGGTAGTCAAGATTCTCATAGATTGTCGCATGACAAGAAACACAATGTCTGCACTAATGTCTGTATAGAAGCCACATGGCTGCCTGCCTGCTTTCCTTCCTTTCCCAAAGGCCACCTCGGGGAGAAACCACCGGCATTCCACCAATGCCAATAGCTATGACGCGAAAACATGCAAGAAACCTTGACTTGACGGAAGCATATATGGGAATGTGGACAATGGAAGTTTAAATAAACTAGATCGTTGTCTATCTTTTCCTAATAAGCACGCTTTGTAACACCACAACTTCCACACTGGGTATACCAACAAATGGAAGGGACCGGGACATATGCCTTTTTTGAGCAGCCTTTTCCAGTCTTATCACACCAATCCTCTCCTGCTCGTGGGATCAACAGGGAAACTCAAATGGATTTTGCTTGGAAAGAAGAACACAATCCACCCTCAGTATGTCTACTACGGCGGTGGCCACCACTAGACAAAATCTTGCGTCACATGACAGGAACTCCCCACAATCGTGTTTCATATCGTATCCCAGTGAGTCGCTTTTCGGCAGAAGTCGTGATTCGCTCATCCCAGGTGCTTGAGATGGCAAAAAGGGTATTCTTCCACGCTGCCACCGATGGCATTTTCAGCAGGTGCTTTTCGATGGCCACTCCAATGAGAGCCGCCCTCCATGGACCACATGCAAATTGCTACGATGACCACTAGGCTGCAATGAAGCCCCAGGGTCACCTAGGAGATGTGGCTTGGCACCTGGTCAACACTTTCGGTGCCTAGCAGATGTGTCTATCACCACGTCCATATATAATGCATATATATATATGCATATAACATACTGAGTGGATTGATGTGGGGCTGTGAAGAAGTGAACTCTCGGCTAATTTGTCATTCATGCATCATGGTTCATTTAGGAGGTAGCAGAAACGAGTGAGTCATCTCACGTGTCCCATGAGTAGAAACATGCAGGTGGCCTTTCGGGCTCAAACCGGCTCAAACACCCCCACAACGGGGCTTGACACATGCACAAAGAAGGGGAGCAGTGTGTGGAGACGTGTTTATCTATGTTATATATTTAAACTTACTATTTCTGTTAGTTCATATACATCTATATGACGCTCTTTGGATCGAATTGACACATTCATTGATTCATACCAAACAGGATCGTGGTCCACTCCCTGAGCACTTCCTGTGGCTCATCCATTCACTTGCTTGCACATCTTAGGTGCTCCAATGGCCATGACCCCCACTGCTACCCAAAGCAAGGCAGTAGCTTTTAGTTTGGCACACAATTCAGGTCTACATGTAGACCACAACCATATTTGGGGTCACAACCTTGAACCCACATCCGCCTCAAGACGTCTTCAAGAACTGGGAAGACAGATTGGGGAAAACAGCTCTACACCCTAGGCTCATATAATAGAAACCTCATCGCCAAGTTAGGAACTGCCAACGTCAGTAGTCTTGATTCCAAAAAAACGTCCAGCTTTGGGCGAGGGGAAGGACAACTCCACATATACCCTGTCCAATTTCTGGCGTTGCAACAGGAAGAACAACATAGAAAATGAAAACAAGACCTTTCTAGATGAGGAAAGGAAGCACAACACAAGCAAACAAACAAAATCACACGCGCGTGCACACACACATAATTGAAACTGGCCCCTGGATCAAGAACAGATCAGGTTCCTGATTGGGGCCACGCCATCTCACCATGTGAACGTGTCGACATATACCAATTCACCGTATTCCACCAATTCTTTGGTCACATCTTCAGAATTTAAATACTGAGTTCTTGCAGTTCCCCCTTTCAAAGGCACCCAATCAATCCGACGGCCTTGCTCCCAAGGCTCTGCTCGCATGGTTCGATAGGCCCGTAGCTCTGTGCGGGCCATGAAGCACCTGTAGTCGCAGCACGAGAGGCGGGTGGTTGGGCTAGCAAGATTGGGGTTTGCACGGTTTGTACCTGGAAGTATTGGACGTCCTTGATTAATTGACACACGGTATGTATACTAGGAGCAAGGACGCTACTAGGGGCTCCTCCAACCATGTAATACCCTATATATAATTGTGTGTGGATGATCCCCATCTCCGGGCTGTTGCAGGTGGTGCGTGCGCTAACAGTATAAAAACGGGCGCCAGCAGCTGCTAGTTCAAGGATGGAAGTTTGGGAATGGAGTAGCATTCCAGGGCCTACGGGCACATCCTGTATCATGAGTTCAGGCTAAGATCCGCAAGATTTGCCAAGTAGGAACCAATTCCACATAGAGTTCAGGCTCCATCATGGCAGGTGACTGCAGCACGATGGCCATCACCAGCACTCCCAAGCCCGCTGCAGGTGAATAGGCGGCATTCAGCACGGCGGCAAAGAGAAGAAAACCCAAGGTTTCCAGAAGGCCTGGGCACATCTTGGCAGGTTGGATGGAGGCCATCGCTACTAGGTTTTGGGATCATGTCCACCAGAAGTTTGCCTTTTATGATCTTCATGGTCGAAGTCTTGGACATTCAATGACATAATATAAACAGTGACATAACGTCTGCATCTGGAACGCAGCAACCAAAGTACCACAAGAAAACTCTACCACGCAAGACCCAAATACAAAGCAAGGTCCCTTCAGGAGTAAGACTTAGAGCGAGCTCAAGACTTCGCCTGAGGCAGAATGTAGAAACAATCTTTGGACAAGCTTTGAATGGATTTCTATACGTTTGACTACGTCTGCATTCTTCAGGCCCACATCTCAGAGCGAGGCTGAAGAAGCTGCGCCATCGATCCAGGCCTTTGCAGCAAGTAACACTCCAAATGCACGGGTCTCATCGCTAGTAGGTTGGAGACCATCGCTCTTACATGCTCTTACTAGTTGCACGGATTTAAGTACTGCACTGCATGCAGTTTGCATCTTTTTGCTTCCGAGCAGATTTTTCTTGTGTCCTATCGTCCTATCCGCAGAATTTTGTGTCCCATTCACTTGGGCTGTTTGCGCTGACCTTACACGCTGGAGCTAGTGCCAGTAGGATGATCGACAAATGAATGCACAAAATCTGGACTTACTTCATCTGTGTTGAGCACGCGCGGCCTCCACTTACAGGCAGTGTGCAGTCAGGTCACCGACCAAGGTGCTTCGGCGGAGTAGCAAGACAACGACCTCAATTGCAGTTCAAGCATGTCATTTTGTGTTTGGACTCGTTGGACGACTGGAGAGGACCGGAGAGGTTTGAGTGTCGCAACACGCCTGGGATTTGTTATGCATGGCGTGCGTGAAACGCGGGAGCATCGGACTCGCCGGTTTTGTTTGTCACATACTCATATAGACTGTTGATCAATAGAGCCCGCGATATGAAGAGGTGTTACCGGTGTTATTCATTAACAGCCTATATCCGCCGACCCCTGCTCTGGCGAAGGCAGGGGCGGCGCCTGGGACCACCGAAGGTGTGGAACCTGAGCTCTCCAAATCCTTACTTTTCTGGGCCCGAAAGCAAAAGCGCCAAAAGTTCGCACTTGCTAGACTGTGGGCTCTGGGCTCTGTGCCAGACTGTGGGCCATACTGGCCTCAAACCCCTCAAACCCCTCAAACGCTCCGACACTTGCCAATGGTTGTGCCATACGTCTGGATTCTGGACGCTTCAGACGCTCCATGGATGCTTCAGACGCTCCAAAACCTCGCACTTGCTAGACTGTGGTCTCTGGGCTCTGCGAGAATCAGACGCTCCAAAACCTCGCACTTGCCAGACTGTGGGCTCTGGGCTCTGCGAGACTGTGGGCGGAGTTGCGCAGGCTGTGGGCTCGTCTGGGCTCTGCGAGACTGTGGGCGGAGTTGCGCAGGCTGTGGGCTCGGGGCGCTGGCGCGCCGGAGCAGCCAGCCTCTGGATTCTGGACGCTTCAGACGCGCCAAAACCTCGCACTTGCCAGACTGTGGGCTCTGGGCTCTGCGAGAC